TATATATATATATATGGGGGGTTTGGGGGTTTTTTGGGGTTTTTTAAAAATATTTATATGTGTTTTCCCCCAAATTCCAGGAAAACCTTAGAGGGGCTCCTGACGTTTCTCCCCTGAGCTCCCCCGTCTGGGGGGTCCCGGTGGGGCCAGCCCTGGGTGTCCCCTCCCTGCGGGGGACATTCCCGAGGGATCCGCGGGGATCTGGAGCAGGTCGGGAGCTCTCCCGACATTCCATCCCTGTGCGGGTGTGGAGCTGCCGCTCCTGGAGCTGCCACCTCCCTGTGACACCTCTGGGACCCCCGAGGGGACATCCCTGTCCTCACCCACCACCACGGAGCCACCAAACTCCGCTTGTTCCCTCGCTCCCAGTTCCTCCCAGTTCCCCCCAGTGCCCCTCAGTGCTTCCCCGTGGCATTCCCACGGGGACACGTCTGTCCCCTGCCCCGCGGGTATCCAGGTGAGTTTCCAGCACGTTTTTCTTTTATTTCCACGCAGTAACACTCACTACAGCTGCTACCTACGGAAGGGAACGCACGCACACGGGCACGGGGGAGAAAGAATAAATTAAAAGAAATCCTCATTAAAAAAAAAAAACCCAAACGATGAAACCAACGGAGAAAACCAGGGATGGGGCTGGGGGGGCGGTGGGAGAAAACGGTGGGAAACCAGAATAAAAAGGCAAAGGAAGAAGGGCTTGGAACATCGAGCGGTGGCTGGATGTCACGGAGCCCGGCGCCGAGCGGGATGCGCGCTCCGGGGCCGCCCTGGCAGCCTCCTCTCCCGGCTCGGCTCGGCCGGAGCTCCCCGAAAGCCCCTCCGAGGGTCGGGCCGCGGCTGTGTCCCTACAGTCCGGTGGGTGCCGGTGTCCCCGCGGGCTGCGCCGGGCTCCTCTGCATGGTGGCCGCACCAGCAGCCTGTCCCTGCCTTAGTCGTTGGAGGTGACGTCGATGTCTTCTCCGCCCGACTGCTTGGTGGCCAGGCGCCATCGGTTGATGTGGTGCGAGCCCTTCTTCTTCTGCTCCGAGTCGGGGCCCTCCTCCTCCAGCTTCTGCCGTTTGTATTTCGTCCGCCGGTTCTGGAACCACACCTTCACCTGCGGCACAGCACACAGCGCCCCGTGGGCTCCGGCACGGCGGCTCTGCGCGGGGAGGAGGCTCGGCTTTCCGGAGGCTCGGCTTGCCCGGAGGCTCGGCTTTCCCCGACTGGCCCTGGCCCTGATCCTGACTCTGTCCCTGGCCCTGTCCTTGTTCCTGACCCTGGCCCTGGCCCTGGCCCATTCCTTTTCCTATCCCTATCCCCAACCCCATCCCTGTTCCTGTCCCTGACTCCATCCCTATCCCTGTCCCTGTCCCTGTCCCCATCCCTGTCCCTGTCCATATCCCCATCCCTGTCCCTGTCACTGTTCCTTTTCATATCCCTATCCCCGACCCCATTCCTGTCCCTATCCCCATCTCTGTCACTATCCCTGTCCCTGTCCCTTTTCCTATACCCATCCCCATCCCTGTCCCCATCCCTGTCCCTATCCCCATCTCTGTCACTATCCCTGTCCCTGTTCCTTTTCCTATCCCCATCCCTGTCCCTGTCCCCATCCCTGTTCTATCCCTGTCCCTATCCCTGTCCTATCCCTGTCCCTTCCCTGTCCCCATCCCTGTTCTATCCCTGTCCCTATCCCTGTCCCTGTCCCATCCCTGTCCCTGTCCCATCCCTGTCCCCATCCCTGTCCTATCCCTGTCCCTGTCCCGTCCCCTCCCTGTCCCCATCCATGTTCTATCCCTGTCCCTATCCCTGTCCCTGTCCCGTCCCTGTCCCTGTCCCATCCCTGTTCTATCCCTGTCCTATCCCTGTCCCCATCCCTGTCCCTCCAGGAGCACTCCCACAGCCAGCCTTCCCTGCCTCAGTTTCCCACAGCAAGGCGGGACACGGGGGACAAATGTGTTTGCTGCCACCTCGCAGCCCTGGAGAACCACAGGGGGTGAAGGGCACCCGGTGCCACCTCAGACAGGGGACAGCAGCACGGGTGACACTCCTCACAGCGCCCAGAGCCCGTCAGCCCGAGCTGGGCTGGGCCTGGGCGGGCACAGCACGGGGAGCAGCCACAGCCAGCCCCGTTCCAGCTGCCAGGGTGCCACAGGCACAGCGGCCGTGGCTGCAGTGACACTGGGATGGCGCTCAGAGCCACCCCCACACCTCCAGCCAGGACCAGAACCCCAATTATCCATCATTAATTGACCACAGCGAGGTTTAGGAGACCTTTCCTGCTCTGCTGGTGCCAGACTCTGTCCCAGGAGCCTGGAGGGGCAGCGGAGTCTCCATCCCTGGGATCCCACCCAGGAACCCTGATCCACACTGGGATCCCACCCAGGAGCCCTGATTCACCCCGGGATCCCACCCAGGAACCAGGAACCCTGATCCACCCTGGGATCCCACCCAGGAACCAGGAACCCCGATCCACCCCGGGATCCCACCCGGGAGCCCTGATCCACCCCACAGAGCTTGGTCCCAGCACTGGCAGCGTGGGCTGGGCCAGGCTCAGGGTCAGGACTGGGCACAGGGCAGCAAGGCCAGGGACAGCTCGGGGTGCTGAGGGCACCCACAGAGTCAGGGGGCACAGAAGGAGGTGGGATGGCACAGGCAGGGATGCAGGGATGCAGGATGGCAGAGGCAGGGAGGGGGAATGCCAGCAAGGAGGGATGCTGGTGGCAGCAGTGAGGGATGCAGGATGCTGCAGGAAGCAGAGTGGATGGGGTAAGGGGTGTGGGATGCTGCAGGCAGGGTTATGGGATGGGATGCAGGATGGGATGCAGGATGCTGCAGGCAGGGTTATGGGATGGGATGCAGGATGGGATGCAGGATGCTGCAGGCAGGATCAGCATTCCCATCCCGGTTCAGCATTCCCATCCCAGCCCAGCATTCCCATCCCAGGTCAGCATTCCCTGGAGCCACACCAGCCCAGCCGCCCCCGACTTTCTGCTGTCCCGGCTCAGGAACGGCTCCTCCCGGCAGGGTCGCGTCCTGCTCTCCCGGGACAGAGCCCACCGCCTTTCCTGCCTCTGGGGCATTCCCGGAACAATGCCGGGCTGGCGCTTTCATTCCGCGCCGCGGAGCGCTTTGCAAACTTTAATTAAACCTCTGGGAACGGGGAAGCTGCCTTATCCCCAAATTGTGGAAGGGGAACCAAGGCATAAAGCAATTAAATCTGCCTGAGCGCGGCTGTGCCGGAGCAGGGCGGGAGGGCAGAGGCTCAGCCCGGCCCGGCCCGGCTCGGCTCTGCTCGGCCCGGCTCTGCCCGGCCCGGCTCGGTTCGGCTCGGCTCGGCTCGGCCCGGCTCGGCTCGGCTCGGCTTGGCTCGGCTCTGCCCGGCCCGGCTCGGCTCGGCTCGGCTCGGCTCGGCTCGGAGGCTCCCCGGGATTCCCGGCTGGAGCTGGGATGCTCCCGGCCTGGAGGATCCCGTGCCGCATCCCTCGCTCCCAAGGGAAAAGCTCCAGGAGCTCCCGGTGGGCGCGGGGGATGAGCTGTCCCCTCACTCCGGGAGGAATCCGTTTAACCCCTGAGCCCGGGGTTTTATCCCTTCCCAAATTAACCCTTCTCGTGCCGGCTGTTTGTGCGTGCCGAGGTCCCAGCGCCGTTCCCTGGGCTGGCTCTGTCCCCCGGGGTCACCTCCCGGCCCGAGCTGCTGCTGCAGGACAGGGACAATCCGGGGGGCTCCTGCATCCCTGTCCTGTCCCTAAGCCCGGCTCCCAGCCGTGTTTCCCTGCACATTCCCAGCTGTGCGGGTACCACGGCCCCCGGAACATCCCGCTCTGCCCGGGAATGCCGATGGCACCTGGGCAATCAGGGCTGGCCCCAGGGTGACATTGCCACCACCACTAGGGGACAATTAAAATCGGGCGCTGACACAAAGGGTGGGGGCACTGGGGTGGGCCTGGATGGGGACAGGGGGGACCAGCCCCACTGCCACAGGGTGACACTGCCTGTGCCAGGTTGTCACCCAAAGTGCCAGCGCTGCACCTCCGCCTGTTCCTGTGGGGACTTTCCTCCTAAAAACCCCCCAAAACTTCTCAGGTTTGTTTCTGGGGACAGTTCTCAGGGCAGGGGACAGCTGCCAGCCCCGGGCCTCACACGGGGCCACTCTGCAGCTCTATCTGGGCATCTTTCTCCTCCTGTGATTCCCAGGCATTCGCTCCGTTAATTATTAATTATTAATTACAGCCAGCACAGAGCCCCTGGCCAGGGCTGCTCTGTCCCTGCAGGGACAGCTCCTGGAGGGGACAGCAGGACTCCATAACCACCCCGAACCAGGAGGGGACACTGGGACACACGGTGACTCCATAACCAGCCCAAACTCCCCTCTGCAGGAGCCAGGGAGAGGCCTCTGCTTGGGGAATGCAGATTTGAGACCCCAGGTGGGGTTTGCCCCATGAGTTCCCGGGGGTGGAGCGGCTCTGCTGGGAATTTTGGGCTCCATGTGCCAGAGGGATCCAGGGAAAGGCCTTCCCAGCCCAGGCTGCTCCCATGGGAGGGGAAGTGACTGGTGCCACCAGCGCTGGGCACAGCAAAGCGCTGCCCAGCCCGACAGGACACAGCACGGTGTCAACAGCCTGTCCCATTCCCAGCACACATCTCAGATCCCAGCCTGGCACACAATCCTGGGGCACCTCAGGGCATGGGGTCCCTGCTGATCCCAGTGCCAGCACAGTGCCCAGGATCCCTGCTGATCCCAATGCCAGCACAGTGCCCTGGATCCCTGCTTATCCCAGTGCCCAGGATCCCTGCTGATCCCAATGCCAGCACAGTGCCCTGGATCCCTGCTTATCCCAGTGCCCAGGATCCCTGCTGATCCCAATGCCAGCACAGTGCCCTGGATCCCTGCTTATCCCAGTGCCCAGGATCCCTGCTGATCCCAATGCCAGCACAGTGCCCTGGATCCCTGCTTATCCCAGTGCCCAGGATCCCTGCTGATCCCAATGCCAGCACAGTGCCCTGGATCCCTGCTTATCCCAGTGCCCAGGATCCCTGCTGATCCCAATGCCAGCACAGTGCCCTGGATCCCTGCTTATCCCAGTGCCCAGGATCCCTGCTGATCCCAATGCCAGCACAGTGCCCTGGATCCCTGCTTATCCCAGTGCCCAGGATCCCTGCTGATCCCAATGCCAGCACAGTGCCCTGGATCCCTGCTTATCCCAGTGCCCAGGATCCCTGCTGATCCCAATGCCAGCACAGTGCCCTGGATCCCTGCTTATCCCAGTGCCCAGGATCCCTGCTGATCCCAATGCCAGCACAGTGCCCTGGATCCCTGCTTATCCCAGTGCCCAGGATCCCTGCTGATCCCAATGCCAGCACAGTGCCCTGGATCCCTGCTTATCCCAGTGCCCAGGATCCCTGCTGATCCCAATGCCAGCACAGTGCCCTGGATCCCTGCTTATCCCAGTGCCCAGGATCCCTGCTGATCCCAATGCCAGCACAGTGCCCTGGATCCCTGCTTATCCCAGTGCCCAGGATCCCTGCTGATCCCAATGCCAGCACAGTGCCCTGGATCCCTGCTTATCCCAGTGCCCAGGATCCCTGCTGATCCCAATGCCAGCACAGTGCCCTGGATCCCTGCTTATCCCAGTGCCCAGGATCCCTGCTGATCCCAATGCCAGCACAGTGCCCTGGATCCCTGCTTATCCCAGTGCCCAGGATCCCTGCTGATCCCAATGCCAGCACAGTGCCCTGGATCCCTGCTTATCCCAGTGCCCAGGATCCCTGCTGATCCCAATGCCAGCACAGTGCCCTGGATCCCTGCTTATCCCAGTGCCCAGGATCCCTGCTGATCCCAATGCCAGCACAGTGCCCTGGATCCCTGCTTATCCCAGTGCCCAGGATCCCTGCTGATCCCAATGCCAGCACAGTGCCCTGGATCCCTGCTTATCCCAGTGCCCAGGATCCCTGCTGATCCCAGTGCTACCACAGTGCCTGGGGATCCCGCTGATCCCAGAGCATCCACAGTGCCCACAGCTACCACAGTGCCTGGGATCCCTGCTGATCCCAGAGCACCCCAGAGCCTGGGATCCCTGCTGATCCCAATGCCAGCACAGTGCCCTGGATCCCTGCTTATTCCCAATGCCAGCACAGTGCCCGGGATCCCTGCTGATCCCAGTGCCCCCACCCTGCCAAGACTCCCCCCCAACACCCAGCTCGATGCCACCTGGTCACACCCCTGTGTCCCCATCACATCCAAACCCCCCAGAGGGCTCCCCTTGCTCAGACCATCCCCAATTCCATTTGGATCCCTCTCTTCTCCACTCTGATCCCACTTTTGGAGCACCTGGATCTGCATTTTGTTCCCCAGTCCCTTTGATTTTGCTGTTCCGGGCCTGTTGTTCCAATCTTACCCCGAATTAACGCAGCTCCTCGGTGGGAGTACGGCTGGGAAGGGGTTAAACACCTGCACCATCCCCACCCTATTTCCCAAGGCATTCCTGATGCTGGGCAGCACCTGAACCTTTCTCACCTTCCCCGGGCTGCTCCAGGTGCTGCTCCCTGGCTGGGGGGCAAAGCTCCCTTTTCCAGGGCTGGGAAACAGGGCCAGGCACAGCCATGAGCTGCAACCCCGTCTGGGAATTGTTAAATCCATGAAAAAATTGTAAAATCCCCCAGTGTGGGTTTGGGTGTGGGGCCCCAGGTGAAAACACCCCTGTGTCACACCGGGATGGGTGTCCTGGATAAAGCGGGCTGCTTTTCCCTGGAAATTTGATTCCATGCAGGATTTATCACCGAATATTTAATTAATAATAATAATAGTAATAATATCCTGGGTTTGGCACAGCCACCAGCCCCTGGCTGTCCCACTCCTCCAATCCCAATACCAGGATGTCTCCCATCCCTCGGCACACCGGGATTATTTCCCTCCAGGTAATTAAAACAGATTTTTTTTTAAATTATTTTTCCAAAGCCACAAAACAGAAGGGAAAATCGCTCGGCACACCGGGATTATTTCCCTCCAGGTAATTAAAACAGATTCTTTTTTTAAAAATTATTTTCCCAAAGCCACAAAACAGAAGGGAAAAGCTTTTCCCTGCAGCCTGAAGCCCCCGCTGGCGGGTGCTGCTCCCGGATGGATCCGTGGGGAAGGACGGAGCCTTTCCCGGCCCTGCCGCTTCCTCCCGTGCTCCCCGCGCTCGCTCCCCGCCAGCAGCAGCAGCAGCTTCCCAAAATTACAGAAACACCACGCCACCAAACAGGCTGCAGCACAGAAGAAATGAAAATGAAAAATATCTCCGTGGCCTCTTTGCACTCTGCGATCTCCCTGGGTTTTTGGGCTGGATGCCGCCGCTGCGCTTCCCCAATAAATGGCATTACTGCATTTAGGCTCCAGGCAGTGCTGGAAAAGGCCAGGGAATGGCTAAGCTCCCCCTGGGGCATCCCACAGCTGCCCTTTCCACCCCGACAAGTTCCTGGCTGTTCTTTGACCTTTGGGTTTTGTCCTTTTTTTCCCTTTTTTTCTCCATTCCAGCCCGGAAGGTGACGGCAGCAGCGGGAAGGGACCCGAGCCGGTGGCGGCGCCGAGCCGCGGGCTGCGGGTCAGGGCAGCAGCACCCTCGGGATCCAAACACCCTGGGCATTTTGGGGGCTCAGTCCCTGCTTCCCGACACCCACAGCTGCTCCTTCCCGCTGTCCCCGTGCCGGTGACATTTTCCTCCCAGGAACTTCCCTCTCCCAGGGACGCGTCTGGAGGTTTTGTTTGGCAGAGCCTGGGCAAGGATGAGCCAGGCGGGTACTGGGAACACCCACGGCTCCAGCTTTATTTCCCAACTAAATTTAAGCTTAAAATTTCAGTTAATTCATCACATAGGCCCAGCCACCTCACCAGAATTCGGGGAAAACTTTCTCCCTCCCTTCATCTGCTGAATATCCCGGGAAATAAAACTCCTTCTCCTGGAGCGTTTGGGAACAGCCGCTCGCCGGAACACCGGGCTCGGACACACAGATGCTCAGCCCCAACTCCCTCATTTTCCCCCAGCTCTGCACACTTTTCCTTTCATCCTCGTGCTTCTCCTGGGTCTCCTTACATCTAAATTCCTGAGAAATGTCTGTTCTGATCCCAGAAAGTCTCACCCAAAACCAGCGCCTTTCGGCAGCGCCGTCTCCACACCCATCCTGAATTCCGGGTGTTGGTGCACAGACCCGGAGCTGCTCGGCTCGGCCACGGTTTTCCAGCTTTCCAGGGAAGCCTTCAGGCTGCTGCTCCTTTCCTGACAGGATTTTTCAACCCAGAAATTGCTCCCGGCGAAAACACCCCAAGCCAGCGAGAAACAACAGCGGAGAGGCGCTCGGGAGAGCGGGACGACGCCAGAGCCGCATTCCCAGCCCAAACCTGCCCCAGCTGCTGCAACCCTAAAAACTGCCTCACAAAAACCCCAAACCCACCCCGAGGAGCCCCAGAACACCCGCAGGCCCTGGGGGTCCTGGGCAAGCCCAGCTGGGGTTTGACACGGGAGCGCTGCGCGGGTCTGGGGCCGCTGCTGGGACAGGGTTAGGGACACGGTGGGACAGGATGGGACACGGTGGGACAGGATGGGACACGGTGGGACAACCAGGTGGCAGTACCTGTGTCTCGGAGAGGCTGAGGCTGCTGGCCAGCTGCTTGCGCTCGGCGCCCACCACGTAGTGGTTCTTCTCGAAGGCTCTCTCCAGGCGCAGCAGCTGCGACGGGGAAAAGGCCGTGCGGATGCGCTTGGGCTTGCGGGCGAAGGGGCCGTGCAGCAGGAGGCTCTCCTGGGACACCTCGCTCCCTGCGGGCACACACAGAGCTCAGCACAGCAGCCCCGGCTGGGCGGTGCTGGGGTGGCTTCCTGGCCCTGAGACACGGGAAGGGCGCAAAAGGGGAATTGCGGGGTTTGGGGAGGCTTGCCCACCCCGGAATTGCGGAGTTTGTGCCGCGTTCTGCCTCTTGGATCGTCTCAGCCCCGCGGTGGGGTTGGACAAGGGATGGATGGGGAGAGCAGCAGGAAGAGGAAAGAAAAGAGGAAGGAAGGTGAGAGGCAGAGAAAAAAGTGAGACGGAGAGAAAAAGGAATTATAAAATAGGAGGAAGACTGAGAAAGTGGCAGGGAAAAATAGAGAAGGAAAACTAAGAAGGAAAAAAGTGAAGGGAAGAAAGAAAGAGGGAAGGGGACAAGGAAAGAGAGGAGAAAAGTGGGAAAGAAATTTTAAAAAGAGGGAAAGAAAGAGAAAGGAAAAAAGAAGGAAAAGAAAGTGAAAGGAGAAAGAAAGAAAGAAAGAAAGAAAGAAAGAAAGAAAGAAAGAAAGAAAGAAAAAATAGAAACAGCTCAGTCAGATCCCTGGGTTTATTTTAATCAATTTTAGATCTGAGAAAAAAAAAAAAAAAAAAAAGAAGGAAAGAAGCAAAGAATAACGAACGAGTGAAGGAAATCCGTAAAGCAAGCGAGGGAAACAAGGAAGAAAGAAACGAAAGCAAGGGAAGAAACAGAAAATTAAAGGCGGAGAGAGAAGGCAGGACAGACGGACGGCTCGGGAGAGCGGCGGGCCGGGCTCGGCGGCGGCGGGGGACCCGGAGGGGCCGGGCCGGTGCCCCCGGGCGCCGCCGGCAGCGGCCGCAATCCCCGGCGGAGCCCCGGGGACGAGCGAGGGCTCGGTGCCGAGCAGATAAAACTAATCCGGGCTGCGGGACCCCCCGGCACCGCGGCGGGACGGAGGGGATGGCGGTGGAGGGGAAACGGAGAGGGGAAAAAAAGAGAAAGAAGAAAAAAAAAATAAAGAAAAGGAGAAAAAAAAAAAGAAAGAAAAAGCATGGGGGGAAAGGAAAGAAAAGGACGCAGCTACAGAAAGGAAAAGGAAAAGAAAGAGGATAGGAAGGAACGGAGAGAAAGAAAATAAAGATAAAAGAAATAGAGACAGAATCAGAAAATTAAGAGAAAGAAAGAAGGAACGAAAGAAAGAACGAAAGAAGCAAAACAAGAAAGTGAGGAAAAGAAAGAGAAGGAAAAAAAGAGAAGAAAGAAATAAAGAGAAGAAAAGGAATCGAGAGAAAAATCTACAGAACCAAACAACATCTCCCTGCGCAGCCGAGATCCGCCGCACCGAAATCCTTCCCTTCGTTCCCGGGAAGGAGAAAACCAAATTCCCGGCTCGGCTGCGCACGGAGGCGGCGGCGCCGGTCCCGTCCCCCGGAGCTCCGCGGTGCTCGGCCGGGACTCTGCGGGGCTGCCACGGCCCCGGGGCTGCGGGAGCGCTCCGGCCGCGGCCGTGCAAAGGCACCGGCACCGGGAGCTCGCAGGCACCGGGAGCTCGGAGGAACCGGGAGCTCGCAGGCACCGGGAGCTCGCAGGCACCGGGAGCCCAGAGGCACCCGGAGCTCGGCTCGGAGGCACCGGGAGCTCGCAGACACCGGGAGCTCTGAGGCACCGGGAGCTCGCAGGCACCGGGAGCTCGGAAGCACCGGGAGCTCGGAGGCACCGGGAGCTCAGAGGCACCGGGAGCTCACAGGCACCGGGAGCTCAGAGGCACCGGGAGCTCGCAGGCACCGGGAGCTCCCGGGGCCCCGGCCGTGCGTGCGGGCACGGCAGCAACAGGTCCTGCCCTGCAGCCGGGCCCCCCCGAGCCCCGGGAAGGAGCCCCGCGGCTCCGCAGCCCCCGGGGCCGCCGGCAGCCCCCGGCCCTCGCCCCCCGCGGCCCCCGCTCACCTTGGAAGCGGTGGCCGAAGAAGCGGTTCCGCAGCACCCAGGGGTAAAAGTTGAGCGGGTCGCGGTGCTGCGGCCCGAAGAAGGGGTGCGGGTGCGGCAGGGCCGAGCCCCCCAGCTGGGGGGGCCCGACGGGCAGCGCCGGGTGCCCCACGGCCTCGGGGAAGACGAGCTCGGCGCTGCCGTACAGGGCCCGGCCGGCGGCTCCCTGGAAGCCGGGGGCGAAGGCGGCGGCGTCGGCGGCGGCGGCGGGGCCGGGGTAGGCGAGGGCGGCGGGGCGCGGGGGGTCCTCGGGGCCCAGTACCTGCGGGGCCCGCGGGGGCGGCCTCACCTGAGCCCCGCGCACCGAGGGAGGGGAGGCCGGCGGAGGCAGGGCCGGGATGGGGAGGGCAGGGGGAGGCAGGGCTGGGGTGGGAGAGCGGGGATTGTAGGGATGGGATGGGAGAGCAGGGCTGGGATGGGATGGGAGAGCAGGGCCGGGATGGGATGGGAGAGCAGGGCCGGGATGGGAGAGCAGGGATTGCAGGGATGGGATAGGAGAGCAGGGCCGGGATGGGATGGGAGAGCAAGGACGGGATAAGGGAGAGCAGGGATTGTAGGGCTGGGATAGGAGAGCAGGGCCGGGATGGGATGGGAGAGCAGGGATTGTAGGGATGGGATGGGAGAGCAGGGCCGAGATGGGATGGGAGAGCAGGGACGGGATGGGGAGGGCAGGACTGGGATGCAGAGGGCAGGGAATGCGGGGATGGGATGGGAAGGCAGGGCCAGGATAGGAGAGCAGGGACGGGATAAGGGAGAGCAGGGATTGTAAGGATCGGATGGGAGAGCAAGGCTGGGATGACGAGGGCAGGGATTGTAGGGATGGGATGGGATGGGAGAGCAGGAACGGGATAGGGAAGCCAGCGGAGGCAGGGCCGGGATGGAAGAGCAGGGGAAAGTAGGGATGGGGTGGGATGGAGTGGGAGAGCCGATCAGGTAGGGATGGGTCGGGATAGGATGGGAAGGCAGGGAGAGACAGGACGGGCAGTGCGAGGAAGAGGAGGCAAGAGGGGGGTAAGGACAGGCAGGGGAGGCAAGAGGAGGCCGGGAGGAGGCAGGGGAAGGCACGGGAGGTACGGACAGGCCGGGGAGGACAAGGAGAGGCCGGGGAGGACAGGGGGAGATGGGGCAGGAAGGGGAGGCAGAGGAGGCAAAAGCACGCAGAGAGCGCCCGAAAAACTGGACTGGAGCCGCTCCCGCAGGCACGCCGCGAACTTGTGGCACGGGGGGCTCCGGCTGCGGGGCGCGGGGGTTTCCCTCAGCATTAAAAAAAAAAAAAAATTAAAATAATCTTTTTGAAGTCCTCATTTTTTCTTCTTCTTCTTTTGGCTTTTTTTTCTTTTTCTTTTTCTTTTTTTTTTTTTTTTAATATATTTTTTCCCCTATTTAAATGAATAAAGCAGCGCTGCCGGCCCGCGGGGGGAGCACAGGTGAAGCCTCCCCCACCGCTCCCGCCCCCCGCGCAAGCTCCGCTCCCCTCCGCGTGTCCCCTTCCAAAGGCAGGACCTTCCCCCGGCCGAAACCTCTCCCCACCGCTCCAATCCTGCGCCGGGAATGAAAACAAAATTTAAAAAAAAAAGCCAAAGCTCCCAAGAAGTGGCACTTTCGGCCGTTTCGCCCCGGCGCGGGGGATGCGCGGGCGCGCAGCCCCTGCGCGGGCCGGTCCCGAGTTCACTCCGCAGTTTGGCTCTGCTCGGAGTTTTGCTGGCCCGCGGAGGCGAGGGCCAGCCCTCCCCTCCCGCACAAAGGGGGTTGAAAGTCTATTTTCCACTTGGCTGGATCGAAATACTCCGCGCGGGATCCTTCCCCCCGCGGAGAGGAGAGCGCTGCTGCGCGCCCGCGGGCTCTGCGCGGACCCGCTCCCGCAAGAGGCTGCGGGAAGAAGGATGGGGGCAGGAAAGGCAAAATTACACGAAATCCCAGAGAAGCGAAAGCCTAAAAACGGAGCGAGAGCGTCGGCAAAGCGGGGTGGTTTTTTTTTTAATTTTTATTTTCATTTCCGCAAGAGAGAGAGGAAAAAAATAATCGACATTCAAAATATTTTATAAATAGATTTTAAAATGTATATTTTCTCTTTTTTTAAAAAAATAGAACGAGTGGAAATAAAGAAGAGGAGTTGGGTGAGAGAGCTGGCGGAGAGGGCAGCGGGAGCGGAGCGGGGAACACCCGCGGAGGGACGGGGACGGGAAGGGAAGGGATGGGGAAGAAGGGGAAGGGATAGAGATGGGAAGAAGGAGAAGGGAAGGAATCGGGAAGGAGAAGGGGACGCGGGGACAGCTCGGCTCAGTCGCGGAAACTGTGCCCGGCTCCGGACCGTTTGCGGAATTTCATTTAAATCAATTTAATCTAATTGAATTCTATTTAATTTCTTTTTTCTTTTTTTATTTCTTTTTTTTCTTTCTTTTTTTTTTTTTCCCCCTCGACCTTTTCCCTGCCCCGGGGGCCGGCGGGGGGAGACGCGGCCCCTCCGCCCCTGCCCTGCGGGATCCGCGGGTGCGGAGCGGGCGCTGCGGGATCCGCGGCCCCGGAGCGCGGCGCGGGGCCGGGATTTCGTTTCGTGCGGATCTCCCTCATTTCAGCATCTTCAGAGGGAGAAAGCCGGGAAAGGCGGCCGGGCTGCGGCTGCTTCCCGCGGGGTCCCCGCGGCCGGCAGCTCCCCCGGCTGCGGCGGAACATTTCCCGGGAGGGAGCGGCTTCGCTCCGGGGTGAATCGCCCTCTCGGGAATCTACAAACCTTCCACCTCGTTTTGTTTTTTTTTCCCCAACTCGCCCCGGCGGTTTTCAGTCCCGGCTCAGTGTCCAGGCGAGGCTGCTCGGATGGGAAGGGAACCCGGGAGCTGCTACGCTGAAACCGACCGAGAACGCCAAATTTGTCTTTAAATTTCTTTTTTTCCCCTCTGCTCCCAGGCCTGCTCCCAGCTCCAGGATAAAACTCAAGCAGGATTTTTATCCCTTCGGGAATAAACCCGGAGCAGCCGAGCCGGGGTCTTGCTCGGGCTGGAGATGCCCCTGGTTTATGGAGAGGAAAACTTTATCCTCAAAATGCGCAGAGAGGGGAGCCGGGCTGGATCCCCCCCCCGCTGGATTCCGGCCGGGAGCGGCTCCGGGAAGGGGAAAAAACCATTTTCCTTTTTAACGAAAGAGCCGCCGGCCGTGCGAGCGCAGCCGAGGGCCCGCAGGGGCCGGGCCGGGGGCGGCTGCAGCGGGATCGGGGGTGCCGGGGGGAAAAGGAGGGGTCTGCAAAACCCAACCGGGGGGTCCTGCAAGGAGCAAACGAAAGGACAGGGAAGGAGAGGGAAAGAGGGACGGGACGGGCACGGAACACCGGCCGCGGGCTGGGGGTAGGGGGTCATTTCTGGGGTGGCAGCGGGGTGGCACAGGGACACCCCTGTGTCCGTGTCCGTCCGTGCCCGGCTGTCCCCTCGTTAATCGGTAACGCCGCGGCCCCGCCGTCAAAGGGCACCGCGGGCACAGCGGCCCCGGGCCCGGAGCGGGGCCGCGGGCACGGCTCGGCCCCGCGTTAAAAGTTGACCAGACTTCAAAGCGCTGCAGCGTTTCCTCCTCCGCTCTCCCCGCGGGCACTGCTCCTGCCCGGCCCGGCTCCTTCTCATCGGCCATGCGGGGCGGCAGAGGGGGAAGTGGGGCCTGATTGGGGCTGGGAGGTTAATGAGCTCCTTCTCCTGCTTCCTTGGAATTAATTCTATTTGATTTTTTACATTGTTTTTGGTTCGGGAATATGCTGGATCGGAATAAATCGTCCCTGAAAGCAGCGGCTTCCAGCAGGTTATTCCTGTCCCATCCCTCAGCGTCCTCCAGGCAGGTGATTTTGGCAACTGGTGCATGGAGGGATGGAGGGATGGAGGGATGGATGGATGGATGGATGGATGGATGGATGGATGGATGGATTTTATGGGATCAGGCTGACTGAGAGAGGATCCCACCCTGAGTCTAGGGACGGGAAGTCACCCAATCCCCCAGTTCTGGACTGGGAGAGGCCATTCCAGCAGGGAAAGAGGCTGCTGGGTTCCCACCCATCTCCACCTGCTCTTCCATGGGGCTGCATCCCCTCCCCTCTCCAAACCCTCCCAGGCATGGTGGGACCTGCTGTGACAGGTCCTGGGCACACTCAGAGGTGCCACACCCTGGGGGCCCTTGGAGGGGACACAGCTGTGGCTCTGGTGGCTGCAGCCACGCTGGGAACAGGAATCCTGAGCCCGCAAAACAAACAGGGATTGGCAGCCAGGTCCTTGTAGATGCAGAAGATCCAGCTCTGGATGGGATCATCTCCAGCCTGGTAACACCGCCAGGGGATGGGGAGGTGCCCATGGCCCTGAGAAAGCCTTTCCAGGAGCTGGGACATCCCAGCCCTTGGTGGCCTGGGCTGCCCCTGGGACAGGGACAGCTCTGGTCACTCCTGTTCCACGGTGACACAGCACAGGGACAGCTCTGGTCACTCCTGTTCCACAGTGACACAGCACAGGGACAGCTCTGGTCACTCCTGTTCCACAGTGACACAGCACAGGGACAGCTCTGGTCACTCCTGTTCCACGGTGACACAGCACAGGGACAGCTCTGGTCACTCCTGTTCCACAGTGACACAGCACAGGGACAGCTCTGGTCACTCCTGTCCAGCAGTGACACAGGACAAGGATTTTGGGAAAGCCATCCAGACCCCATGAGTGCAAAGTGCTGTGCAGAGTTTGGGCATTTGGGGACCTTCCCCTGACCTCGTGCCTGACCTTGGGGACCCCGTGTCCCCTGCCTGGCTGTGCTGAGCTGGCTGTCCCACAGCAGGGCCCGTGGAAGGCTCTGGAACACCCGGACTGGGGCACCATCAGGATGTCCTGCTGGTGACAGGGCTGGTGACAGCAGTGCCACGGGGAGCTGCAGCACACACGGCTCCAGGGGTGGCACCAGGGGTGGCACAAAGGGGACACGGCCCTCCCTGGGCTCCTGGAATCCCCACAGTGAGGGCCCAGCCCAGCCCCCAGCCCCCAGCCCCAAAACCCACCTTGGTTTGTTGTGCTGGGCCCCAGTGTGGCAGCAGCAGTGGTTGTGTGGCACTGCCAGGGTTGTGTGGCACTGCCATGCCCTGTGGCAGGTTGTGTGGCACTGCCATGGCCCTGTAGTACTGCCAGGGCTGTGTGGCACTGCCATGGCCCTGTGGCACTGCCATTGTTGCGTGGCACTGCCTTGTTGCGTGGCACTGCCATGTCTGTGTGGCACTGCCATTGTTGTATGACACTGCCATACCCTGTGGCACTGCCATGTCTGTGTGGCACTACCATGCTCCGTGGCACTGCCATGGTTGTGTGGCACTGCCATGCCCTGTGGCACCGCCATACCCAGTGGCACTGCCATTCCCC